TCTGGTCCTCTTTCTGGTCTCCGTGTCTTTAAACACTCCAGAGATTGTCCACAAGATGAGCAAAACGGTGTTCACTTGTGCTCAGGTTGTTTCTAAAAAAACGACGGACAAGAACATGTTATACCGAACGTAAACACACTGCGTATGCCTATGTCTGTTCCGCCAAACAGAACTTAAATTTGAGCCAATCACCGTCACGTCACTTCCGTATGATGGACATTCCTTTCCGCTTTGGATTCGGGTTTTGTAAAAGTGTTTCGTCAAAATGTTAAAGTGTTCGGAAATGTTAAAGTGTTTCAGTTATGGTAAAAAGTGTTTCGCATTTTTTTGTTAATTTGTTTTTGTTAATGTTAAAAAAATGTGTCCTTGGTAAAAGTGTTTTATTAAAATGCTAAAATTTGTTTTTAGCTTTGTAAAAAGTGTTTTGCATCCTTGTTAATTGGTTTTCGTTAACGTTTTCTTATTCCTTGGGTAAAGTGTTTTTGCTAATGTAATTTTTGTTTTATAAAATGTAAGATTTGTCTCAAAGCTTTGTTTAAAGTGTTTCGACACTTTTTGCTAATTGTCCATTGCACTTCTCAGCCACCGCTACTACAGAGTGTGAAAATCCCTGAAAACAAAAGTTGACGCTGCCTCCAGTACTGGGTTATACGGATTACAGCCTACCTTTTGCTGCTTCAGACCGATGCGTCAGGACAGGGGCTTTGGTGCTGTCTTGGTTTCAAGTCCAGCGGATGGAGCCTGAGAGAGTCATAGCCTAATCGAGCAGAGGCCTGAGGCCCGGCAGAGTCAGTATCTTTCGCACACAAACTGGAGTTTCTTGCTCTGAAGTGGGCTGTGACAGAAACGTGTGTACGACCATCCTCTATGGGCGTTCAAATTCTCTGTTCAGACAGATAAACAATCCCCTCAAATATGTGATGATGTCCTCTGCCGAAGCTGCGATGCCTACCGGGGCCAGCTGATGGGTTGTCTCGCTGTCTACATCCACTTTGACATTCAGTATCGGGATGGGGACAATGTAAAACAAATGCTGATGCCCTCTCTCCGTATGTCAAACCAGGAGGTCCACACAGGTCCTACAAACCCTGTCCCTCAGCGGGTGGGGATCAGTGTGAGAGTGCATGGGGGAGGGCCCCTGATTCAGAACACTGCCGCAGAGAACCCTGAATACAAACCTTGGAACCGTGCATGTCAAGTGAGCCATACAGGAGGTGGGGACGGAATCCCTGCCTGCCATGAGAAACAGGAGATCGTGTGGGGCAGAAGAAGGACGCCTGTCATTGGCCAAGGACCGACATTGACTACAAAAGTTATGAAACCGGAAACACAAAGTCCGCAGGAGAGGGTCAGAATGGTGGTGGTCAGGTGATGCCCATCTATTAAAAAGTGGAGGAGGTTAGTGTAAGAGAGGGAATGGTAGACATCATGTACCCGCCATCATCCAGGTCGACCGCAGCCAACAAGGGGAGTAGGTGTGGAGAAGCTAGTATTGCCAAGAGAACTGATACGCAGTCAAGACTGCTCTCCATGATGATTCAGGGCATTTAGATTCGAGGGGATGGTTGCAAATGATAAGGGAGAGATCTAACTGGCAGAATGGTTTCAAGAAATCAAGGCTGGTGTGAGCCAGTGTGAAATATGCTGTCTCCGATGACCCTAACTGCAGGGCTCCAGGTTTTCCCTGGTCAGTATCACAGCAGTGACCCCATGGAGCTGGTGGGTGTGTGGACTTCTGACTCTGGAGAAGTCCAAAGGTGGCATAGAAAATGTGATTGTGGTAACAGACCACCTTTTCAAGCTACGCCCAGGGCCTAACGCGACAAAAGACCAAAGCCTCTACAGTGGCTGAAACACTGTGGACAAAACTTCTTCTGCCGGTTTTGGTTCCTGACAAAGCTGCATGCGGAACCAAGGGCCGCAACTTTGAAAGCCTGTTCTGAGGAGCTGTGTAAGTGTACTGGCATCACAAGACTTATACGAGCCCCTTACCACGCCCAAAGGCAACGGGACCACCGAAAAGTTCAACCGGACCCTCATGAACATGCCTTGGAGCTACACTTGAAACCCCGCTGGCATGAGCATCTTGACGCAATGACACATGCCTATAACTGCACACCGCACGATTCAATGGGTTACACACCATAATAACCTGATGTTTGGGAGACATCCTAGGCTCCAGTGGACCTGATTTTTGGGCTTTCCACCGAAGTGAGCACGTGGATACAGTGGATTATGTCCAAACTCTGTATGACAGTCTGTAACAGAGCATAATCCACAGGCTAATCAAAACCCGCTTCGGCATGCTAAGGCTCAACAGAAAAAGCACTATGACAGAGAAGCAAAGGGTCAAGTCTTCATACCGGGGGATAGAGTCCTGTCAAAGTGTGTAATGTGGATGGAAGGCAGATGGGAGGCACGTCCATACATTGTGGTGAAGAAACAACTCAACACACCTGTATATGGTACGATTACAGGACAGCGAGAGAGAGAGAGGCTGGTGCACCGCAACCTCCTGACATGGTGTACGTTCCTTCCAGTGGAACGAGCCAGTGAAGTGATAGGAGAAAAGGTTTAATCGGATGCAACAGAGGACTGTGAGATTGATCATACAGAGGAAGTTGAGGAGAATGTGGGACCTGTGACACGATGAGCCCAAACAAATGGAGAAAGTGGATGTGGATGAAGGACAAATGGATGAAGAAGATGAAGAAAGTACGACTGTGAGTGACGCCAAATCACCTGATAAGGCCAAGGCTCCTAGGAGAAATCAGCGTGCCCCGAAGAGACAGTCATCATGTGAGTCACAAGTCGGAGGTGTTGCTGTTGCACAGCAAATTGTTGTTTTTTGTCCATTGTGGGACACCATATTTCTCCTGTTGTTCTGGGCACGGCCTCCATCTTGGCTCTTATGTTTACATTGACTCCATGAAAGGTGAGCAGTGTTAATTGTGGCAAATCATTTTACACATTATAACGTTAAGAACGTCCATACATTCAATTTCTTTGAATAATGGGTTATCTTAAATGTTTATTTACCCGATTGTGTATGTTTGGGAGTGAGATGTTTATGTTTTGTCTGTTAATTTGGTTGTTTTATTGGTTAGCATGTAGCTAATGGCGAATGTTTACATTCACTCCATGAAAGGTGTTTCAGAAGAGCTGCCATTGGAATAAATAAATCACCGCTCAGCGTCTCCACCGCAATCCGATCTACTGTGTCCTGTTTTCCTCCCCTCTGATTAACAACCCATCACCCTTAAGAAACACAACGCAGAGTCCCAGGGTCTTCAGAGAGGCTACGGGACATTTGGGTTACATAGTATTTTTACATTCTGTACATACTACTTTTAATTGAAGCAGCAAATCAATAGTTTTATATTAACATTGTTCCAAATGTATATGTGATATGCTAAAGGGGTTGCCGATTGTCCAAAGGATACAATTACTTCAGCAGTTTTTTTAGTTCTTTTTCTACCTTTAAGTTCCTTGTTTTGATTTCCAGCCCACCACTTTCCAGTTTGGGTTCCATAATCTCTTACCATTGTCATTTTTAGCTACGTTAGGCATTAATGTGATTAATCATGATAAATCACAAGTTTAAAAGGCTTGTAATTGGGGGGATGAAATAAATACACATAAATAATAATAGAAATAAAGAGTCATTTCTGAAATATTTTTGGATAAAACATAGACAAAGCTGCTGTCTTGGAGAGCTACTGTGATTCCCCTATGTTTAATGTGCACTACACAAATTATAAATGGTTGTATTATTGCTGCCCTCATCAAATTGTGAGCACTATCTGTTCCACTCCTGTGCAACTTCAAGAAACTGGGTATTGGATGATTTAACAAAATGCCTTTACCTGTTTTCATCACGCCTAAAGTGAAGTGGTGCAGTTGTGATTTGTCATGGATGAGGTGTGCCGATACACCAAAGTAGTGATGGTTTTTATTCAGGGTATAGTATCTGCACATTTTTTAAGTACAAATGTAATGACTTTTAAGACCTTTTTAAGACCTCTTAAAGGAAAGAATAATACCAATACAAAAAAATCAACAGTGGAAGTGGGCCCTGAAGACTTTGCCAGAGCGGATATATTGTTGTAACAGCCAAACTAGAAGTAGCGCTAGCGAACAACTCTTTGGGCATTGTACTCCTTTGAGTACCAGCATAGCGCTTGTGTTTTTCCAATCTCATGTGCGAATCTAATGCTTTGCACCCCATTGTGCCAAGTTTGAAGATTTGCCGACAAAGTTCGCATCGCGCCTCATAGGAGCTGGACGGTTTCAGCCAGCCACGATACTTGTGGGTAAACCTGTTCTCAGCGTTGTGCTCCTTTTTGTCCGCGGCAGCCTTCAAATCTGAAGCTGGATATACTCATTTTTCTTCTACCTTAAAATGTGAATCAGAGCCACACAAGACGTTCTACCGCCACCTATAAGCGGAGGGTGTGCTAGCCTACCTATTTCACATACAAAATAAATAGGTATGGGACGTTGCAGGACATGAAATAACATTATTGGTAAAATAAAACGTACACATTTAACACAAAATAGACAGACTCATTCATTCTGCCCCAGATCAAATGTAATACCTCCCCTCCTAAAATTCCAGACCTTTTTAGAAAAAAATAAATTTAATACTTTTTAGCATTTTAAGGATCCGCAGGGACCCTGTTATAGATGTATAGCTGAATCCAGGCAGTGGTCTCCGCATCGCCTTTTTGCTGACATGCTATTCTTGGTAAACATCCACGCAGGAATTACGAGAGGAAGTTGCGGTGAAACTTGGTAATGTGGTCTATTTGCGTTCATTATTTTTTACGCTGACAGCTATAGCCAATTATGCATTATCAGTCAAATCTACCCCCACCTTCTTCTTTCGTTGTTTCCACGTGTTGTTTAATGTGTTTCTTGCTCAAGGAACATATTATAACACAATATATGCAATAGTATGATACGGGTGGGTACGTTGAAAAAAGAAAACCCCATTTGATTTTAAAATACTTTATTTCATAAACAATATCTAAATTCAACTCGGTCGGTCACATACACAATAAGGATAGAAAATGCTTGAATTAGAATAAGAGAAAACAACAAGAACTGGGCATTCCTTTCTGCTCTTTGAAGGGCAGTTTACAAAGTGAGCTCATTGAGTGAAGATGATGGTGAAGATCTACAGAGTGGCCTGGTAGTTAGAAAACTGCGCTACACATGGAAGATTCAGGTTCAAGCTCCTACCCTGCCGAGGTGTCTCTGAGCAAGACTCTGAATGTGTTCCAGCTGCGGGGATGATGATCTGTAGGTGAGTTTGTCCTCTGAGGTACTTTCATCATACAGTTATTCCTCAATATACTCAGACAGATCTCATGTATCCCCTGCTACAGTTGCTTTTATTCAAATCACAGAGAAAGACGGATCAATGCTCGTAACTTTTCGCAACTTCCTCTTTACTACACATGCTGTCTTAGGGCCTGTGTCCACAGAGTGTATTTTTCTGAGCGCCTGCATCTTTTCCAAATGTTTCTATTAAGGTAGTGAGAGTTTGCCATTGCATGCAACGCCTCGTGAAAAAGCGTTTTTCCTGATTGTCCGCCGTGTGTGCGGCCGCTACGAATGCGCTGAGTTGTAATGTTTCAACTGTTCAATGTCGAACTGGAAAAGACTTAGCAGGTTTCCACTTCCGGTTCCCTCGTCTAGAAATCAATGTTTTTTTAAAAGTGTTTGTGGTTAGAAGTCTATAAGGTCTGTCGTAAACACAAGCTGAAGAGATGTGTACGTTATGTTCTAAGACATGAAATATTTAAGTAAATACTCCACTCTTGAATATCTGAAGCTTCTGTCATAAAAAAAGCAGTTGCTAACAAGGGACTAAATAAGACTACTAAATGTCATCACGCTAAACATGAGCAGCCTTTAGCTTAGCGGTGGTGATGCATGCAACAAGAAAGTAGTTTGTTTATAGCCTATAGCTTTGACTTCTGCCGACTGTATTTATGCTTCAAAAATCACAAAGTGGTGTTATTATGTGGAAATTATCCTGGTGAACAAAAGATTATTATAAACGTGTGTTGGCCACAATATTTACTTCCTGCATTATACCCAAATAAAATGGGGATATCCAATTGTTTTTTCTCAAGGGAGCACATGCAATGCTAACTTCCAGGTGCTAACAGAAAAACATCCTCACTGCACCAATTTATGGAGAAAACAATATGAAACACATATTTATAAGCACAGATAATAAAATACAAATGGGCGATGCTAGTCATGCTGCGTTGTCAAGATATTGTTGCCACAGAAGAACCGTAAGAACCTTTTTTATTTTTAAAACGCAGGGAGGAGGCTCTGCCAGAAAAAAGGTGTGTGGACACAGGCCCTTATCATGGTGTGGTTATTTTAGAATATCATATTTCATTTAAGGTAGATAAAGGAGGAAAACCATCAGTATCTCACAAATAGATAATAATAAATACATTTCAATACTGAAAGATAAACATGTTGGTCCATGGTGTAAATCGAGCTAAAAAAGATTCACATTTTCTCCCCATATTCAAACAGGGCTGGATTAATTATTTACATATTGGAAGACCTTCACCTGTGTGGCTAGACTATCATAATTTATCTCTATTATATATTTATATATAGCCAAAGATTGCAAATATTGTGCAAGACTCTATTTGTGCAAAGAATATGTGCTCCTCTACTATCAAAAAATTGGACAGGTGTTAGCTTTTGAGTTTTAGAAAAGTTTTCCCACAATAGAACAACACGAGGATGACACAAAGAAGGCATTTGCTGTATAGGATACCTTTTGCTTCTATTAGAAATTCCTTTAGTTAAATAATACACCAAAATGCACACGTCACAAAAGCCATTCACGTACTGTAATGTTCGAAAGAAAAACCCACAGGCCATGGACAGTGTGTGCCATTCAGTGGAAAATATCGTCTGCTCGAGTGTTTCCAACCAAAGCATTCTGCTTTATGTACAGTGTTATCTGTCCATGCAGTCGTCCATGTATCCCTCGTTTCTGACTCACCAGTGAAGCTACGGTTGGCGAGGCATCGAGAGGGGATGACTGAGGGGGGGTGAGCCGTGCTGGGCCGGACAGTGCTTCACCATGCTGTGCCTGAGACAAACTGTGCAAACGCTACTGTGCTCTTTATCCTCTTGGGCTACCAGCGCTGCAACTTTACAGTATGTACGGTACCACTTCAGAGGAGGCTGTGGATGTATGTGTGTGTTTGGTTCAAATGTTGGCCAGGCAGTGATTTACTTGGGTCTAGCTACGACCGGTCTAACTGTAAACAAGACTTCAGTTTGTATTTACAGACAAGCATGAAACCTTCCTTCTTAAGGGGACAAAGCAGAGAAAAAGCTTCGCCCCCCTTGAGTTCATTGTTTGGCTATGCAGCAAAAAACATTTTTCTATCTTCTATTTCCTGTCTTTCGATTGTAGACCGAAACAGTGGTGGTCTGTATTTCCAGAGGCATGTTCCCTTCTCTCCAGTTGCTGATAAATCAGTTGTTATGTTGAGGTAACCAAGGAGTAGATCATACTGAAACACAAGAAGAAGAGCAAACAGGAAATGCCAAGTAAATAAACGCCCAGGCAGACAGAAGGGGACAAAGTGGTAATTAACAATTAAAATAATCTCACAACCTGAATTAAGATTAAAATACTTGACTACTGTGTGCGTGTGTGCGTGTTTGTGTGTATTCAAACATTTCATTGATCCATAGTTAGTATTCCTGCTGATTCATCTCAACACTGCAGGCTCAGATTTAACGGAACGTCTGTTTATGTAGAGAAGTTCGAAGCTCCGGAGCGGATTTATTTATCTTAGCTGCTGACAGAAAACTTTTATATTTGATTTTCCTTTAAAGCTTTTCTGTCATGATCTGCATTTTCAGAGTAAGGTTGCTTCGTCATTTAGATCAGGGGGCTGCTGTGTTTGTTGGGTTAGTTTAAGAGTACTAATGAAACAATGACATCCAATGGAAGAAGTAATCAGATTTTAAACTTACGTAAATGTAGCAGTACTAAATTGGAAAAATACAAGTAAAAGCCCTGCATTCAACCCTGAAAGACTGTCACTGTGGAAAAGTTGAAACTGAATGCAAAGAAAAAGCTGATGAACATTATGTAATGCAATGAGCATGTGCAAAGCAAGCTGTGAAGCACACATCGCTGCAAAGTGACAAATACATAATTTTAGCCATTGACAGAGATGAGCTTAGTTCCATTGACTCCTAATAGGGTCAATATAATACTGTTGTTTTTGTATTACTAATAACACAGACTGTGAAGTTCACCTGAAAAAGAGATTGATTGCAGGACTGCATGAAACAATTACCAACAGCATAAAGCACAGATTGGGGATCCAACACTTGTGTCACTGAGCTGAGACTTGACAAGAACAGATCAGCACTTCGCTGACAGTAACTGATGATTCCAAACATTTGTATTCATCCCTGAGGTCTTTCCGCGCTCTTAACACCTCTGATAATCTCTGCTGCTGAGGAGCCTGAAAATGTATTCTGTTGACTCACAAGTATCCATGGATAGAGAGGACGAGGGGAGAGGGTATATGAGAGGGGAGGGAGAGAGAGATCAAGAGTGAACGGCTCCTCAGAGACCTGACCTCCTCCGAGAACTGGCTTCATCATTAGTAGATGGACTTGTAGCTCTTTAAATTACAGCTCTTTTACTTCCGCAGCCTAATTAGACATTAGCTAAACATAATGTATGCTAAGATATTAACTTTTATATGAGATCCTGCATAAAAGAGGAAAAGTGACACTTAAGGGGAAAAATAAAGCTGTTTAATTTGCTAAATATTCCTGATTATTTGTTTTTGCTTTTGCACATACCGTACATTTTTATATTAGTAAAAGTTATAACGTTCTTCAGAAAAATATATTATTCTTTTTCAAAGACTTATGTCACATTTGCATTTTCTTCCGTACACCAAAGGCTAAAAGAAGAACAATAAAATCCATTTTGCATATATCTTCCATTCCATACAATTCTTGTTGAACAGTAAGCTAATTTGAAAGTGTGATAATACCATTTCACTTTATTTCAGATATTCTGATAACAATTTAATGAAACTCAGCGTAAGTTCAATCAGGAAGACCAATATCTTCATCCATATATATATATTTTCCAGGTTTTGGTAATCACAGACTTTATTTCAGGCATCTAACCAAAGATATGTTTGAAGAAACTGGAAGCGGCCATGCAGTTTTATGACTCATTCCTGTACCACTCCATTGTGCATAGTTTTCTTATCATTCCACAAAAAGCTGTATTGGAAACCATCTAAAAAAAATAAAAATAAGCCCAGATCTTTGAGCCTGTGCAGCTTTTCCGTCGGCCTAAAAATCCAACAGTTTTAGATTCCAGTGTACATTTGCTCCACTAAGCAACTAAAATGATTTTGAAATCACTCTTCACCCGGGCGTGGAGGTGAGTGCTCAGGTGGAACTGTGTGTTCATCTGTGTGCCTGAGAGGGCATGCACACGTTCATAATGTGTATACAAGAGGTTGTGTGCCCTTGTGGGTCTGTTTGTATTTAGTGTGCACAGTTTTCCAAAGGATATTTAGAACACAGATGCAGGTTAGAGGAGTGTAGAAGGGTCAGTGTGACAAGGCAATAAGCAGGTTTCAGGACAATTCGCTTTCATTATTACCAGTTTCACATCAATGTACTGTACTCATCCACAATTTAATATTAGTTTACTGTTTATACTGACCACCAAGATCTATATCAAATTGATGTTGCTTTTCAGCCATTGCGTGTCAATAGAATGACCATGTTAGGACCATACATAAGGTCATAAGAGCCTAATTTAGCAAACAACTGAACATGTTACTGTTTTAAGATTTTCCTACAACCTGAGATGTGATTGTGTACATTTTCTGTTAGTTATGATCATTTAAATCACCAATGCAATTGCTTTAAAAAATCTGGATTTATGACACCATTGCATTTTTACAAGATATCACCTCAGTTGAAGATATATAATATAAATATAAAGTAAACTATAATAGAAAAAGAGTTACAAGCATCAGCACTACACTATGAAAGCCAGGTATCCTTTGTTAAACAAGCCAATATTTTCAAAATAATTTCATGGTTATAGTATATTTTACTCTGATAGTGAAATGAAAGTGAATGAACCATCGCCCTGCTTTGTAGAGTACTGTACCTCGCTGCTGCTGCTGCTGCTGCTGCTGTGACCAGGGTTCTCTAGCACAGCCTAAGCTAGAGCCGACAGGATGAAGTGAGATGGAGAAGCAAGATGGCACAAGTTAAAGAGTATGGTTTACAACTACATACACCCATGTCAAGATGTTCAATGAAATATTCTCAAAACAATTTTGAAATGCTTATAGGAAAGTTATGTTAAGTTTAATTTGTAGTTTTATAGAAATCCACCTTTAACTTCACCTTAAAAGTGTATTTTGTTTTGAACCTACTAAACAGGAGACTATCTCCTGATTCATGCAGGCATTGGTATGAAAATGGATGAAATACATATCGGTATTAAACAAGCTCTTTAATGTTTTCCACTCTTATATCTCTATATCATGCCAGGAGGAAGCATATTATAAACTCCATGTCTGTACTTTTTATGATTCCTTAAAGAAATGTTAAAGAAAAATATGCCTTGTGATTAAAAAGGGGATTTCCAGAAATATTGGAACCTGAACACGTTAATATAGCTGTGACAACAAGGTGTTTTTACCAGGGGGATATGATTTGGGTATATTGCAATAAAGAAAAAATAAAAGTGTAGCTATTATCAAGAAACAGCACCTCGTCTCCCTGGCATATCTTGATCTACTTGTAATTCAAACCAAACACTGGCTCCATTGCTCATGATGTTGCTTTTCTACCTGCGTGGTAAAGCTGTGATAAACCTATTGACATCACTATTTACAAAGTACCTACCTACATAAAAAGACAGCAACAGCACATTTGCAAGGATAGGACTGGCCAGCATGTTTCAAGTGTTTACTCACAGCCTTATCACGCATATAAAAAGAACAACTCCATGTTAAAGTTGCAATCCTTTTTGGGATAATTAGTCTTCAAGAATTTTGTGCTGATGCTGCCATGTTTGGCCACTACCATCTATAATCTGTAACCAACACGGCTCCACAAATATCCACTTAAATCTTGTATCCATATAATCACAGCAGCCTTTCATGACATGTAAGCTTATACATGTACACAATTACAATATACATGTAAGCTTAGACATGTAAGCTGATACAGATCAAGATCAACTGTGTCCATATGGAAGATCATTTGGTTTAATATTCTTTTGTTGAGAATAAAGCCATTCTGTCTTTACTACCACAGAATAAAAGGTAAAAAAAAGGATTGTACCTTTAAGTGTTTCCATTGTAAAGTTCTATTAGACGGATATATCCAGGTTCCACACACTGCAGCAACCACATGACACAAGGAACAAGAATCCGGAGTGATTAATAACAGCATTATTAGACAAGAAACAGGAACATTATGCACTATTATCATCGAACACTTCATCAAAAAACATTAGCGCAACCATTTTTTACCAGTGTATAGTAGTTTTAACCCTCTGGTAGTGTTTCTCAATGAAGTAAAGAATCCAATTCTCGTAACATCACATGCATTAGCAGTAGTGGGCCTTATAGTAAACCTAGTTAGCCTGACAGAGCTACAGTATGTGAAATAACTTGCATGTGATTGCCAAAGAAATGATTGCTTTATTCAATGATTTGCACTCACTTTGCTTTATCAGAGCTGGGAAAACAAACCAAGTGAAATATAAATAGGGTTTGAAAAAAACAAACATTTGAGTGCTCTTTATCACAGTTTCATAGATGTTTTACTCTAGCTGTAATAATTAAGATTAATGTAATGTCTTTACATGTAATCCAATTATCGTCCAACACCGCCCGCCACATGCTCACCAGTAGAGATAGTAGAAGAAGGATAGGACGAAGAAGGACAGCTTGCACCAGGCCTCCTTTATGCAGAACTTGAGCGTGTCTCCGTTCATCACGGACGCTGGGTCGTAGAGCAGCTCCTTAGTGTCCGTTGGCGAATGGAAGTACCTACCACAGAGGGCAAAGACCACATCGCGGGTAGTTGACCCGTTCCAGACCCCAGGGAGGGGGGGAAGTGGGGAAGATAGGAGGTTGGAGGTAGGCGGGGGAGATGATGGGAGGAAATGGGGAAGGAGATAGTATGGAGAAAGATGGCATGATGAGTTATGGATTTACCATCATGCAGCAGACATGGTGAAAATGAAGTTGAATCTGTTCGTAACTCCCTTTCCAGAACACTTCCAATAGTCCATGGTTTAAGCGACGCTTGGTCAGGGTCCTGTGGCGTCCAGTTGGGAGGCGCCGAGGCTCCTTCAGCTTCATAAACGGACGCAAAGAGCTTTCAACGGATTGCAATGTATTCCCATCGGCGACGGTATTTGACGCTCATGGAAGCACCTCACCCGTTTATGTCGGCAGTTCTTAAAGGCAATGTGAGCATCCATTCCCATTGGATAACGGAGAATTGTACACCCGGAAGTAAGTATTCTCCTTACTGTCGATTGATTTGACAGTGATATCTGCACTACTCATCGACTCAAAAACACCAGATTAACTTTGTTAATTAAACAACATTGATAGGTTTAAATTGTGTACAATGCTTTTGTGTTTTCCCCTTCAATTCTGAGAAACAACTTGTTTTCTCTGACATGTGGAGTGCCAAAGAGACTACACTACCCAAAATCCCCAGCTATTGTTGTGACGACGCCTGTCCGCTTTGCGACAAACCCTGTGAATAATCTTCAAGCTCTGGGATTGGATGTTGGAGTGGCAGTGCGCCAAGGTTACGCCGAGCGTCAAGCTCTTTGAAATGGAACGAAACCACGGCCGACTATTCAAAACTGCACTTGAATGCCCCCCCAGAACTACACATGCTGGCTATTGTGTTTTGCAACATGTTCTCTATGGCACGTCTCTACTGGGAATTGTAGTTTTAAAAGACGTTTTTTCCAAAATGAGAAGTTGACAGTATTAAACTGTGTACAGCCCTGGAGGTTTAGGCGATAGGAAACACATTGGTGTGTACAAATTTAAAACATATAATTAATAAATGGGTGAAAATCGCTTGTATCCATAATGGGCAGCATTAATATATACCCACATGACAGCTCATTGTTACTTTGTAATTCTACTCCACTACAATTCAGAGGTTAACCTGGTTTTACTCCACTACATTTATTTTAGTTACTTTGCAGATTCTGATTAATGATGTGAAATATATACAACCCTTAAAGCAGACTTTAGTTACACCTGAGTAAAATTCAGGGAAGGTGATTGTCAACTGCCAACAATTAGGAGAGATATTTGATAGTTGGTGCTTGAGAAGACTAAACATTTATCTGCAGATCTCGATAAAGTATATTCATTAATCGTTATTCTCTACTAATAGTTAATTAAAAACGTTATGTAATTGCTATTTTGCACATCCCTTTCAAGATTTCGAGATTTTCAAAGGTTTATTGACATATCATACACAACTACGGTGTTGGTATGCAGTGAATGAAAAACTTGGGTCGCAGTTTCCTCAACAGTGCATTACAAGACATCTATTAATATGTGTGTATACCTCCAC